GGTGTTTCTGTTGTTCAGTAAGGTTACCATTGGCTGAAATGCCATCCAATATTCGCGTAATATGACTTGGTGGTTTCGGAGTATCAGTACAAACATAACGATTATGGACAAGTTCCTCGGATTCTGTAGAAAGAGGTTCAGCATTCCGATAAACAGTGGAAGCATTGGTAACAGCTGTAGCCCAAGCTATATTATCGCCTTTACAGAGATTAATGTGTTTATCCCCAAAGTTAAACATCATAAGCATTGCCCGCTTATCCTGAACTCTGGTTAAAGTTCTTCCAACTATAACGTCAGTCTTCTCTGATAGTCCACATAATGGTTCAAGGATTGTGTCAAAAGAAATGTTGGAGGTAATGTTCATTCCCACAGGAAGGATAAGCTGTTCACCGGGTGCTATAGATACATCCGATATCAGAGAAACGCGACTAACTGTAGGCGCTCTGTTATCTTCTAAAACTGGAATGACAGTATCTTCACGAACTATCTTCCGTTTCCCATAATCTATCACAATGTCATTATGTTCCAAAAAATTGCGACCAAGGATACATTTCTCTGATAGGTCGTTGACAATATAAAAAGTTTGGAAGTTAGATCTACCTTGAAAGTAAACTGGTAGAGATACAACACCATAGATGGTAAATTTTGAAGAATTAGCGACACGTAAAGTGGTTGTTGATGTACTAACGGTATACTTTTTATTGTTTGGTAGGGACAGGAAAACCCTAGTATCAAGTAAACAAACATCGGATCCACCATCAAGCAGGGCCTTGGTATTCTGTCCAATGATTTTGGTAGTTATTCGTAGAGGGGGAGATTTCATGATCGTGGTATCTTCAAACTTATCTTCATCATTGGTACATGTTGACGAAAAATGTGACCTGGGGGTGGGACACTGCCTTGCTATATGTCCGATTCCACCACAAATCTGACAGATAATACGACCGGATCGTGTGTTGTTCTCTGAGCGATACAGGTAATTTTGGGAACTCGGTTTAACATCTTCACGCAGCCACTGACGTGTTGGAGATGATGGATGTCTATAATAATCATGACCAGAATACACTGGATATTGATAAGGTGGTGAAGGACCATGATGCATTTGTTGATATCGCTGAGGAGATGGAGTCCGAAATCGCCTGGTTGAGTCATAGGCGGGTGAATAACTTCGACTGTTCGAGAGCTTTCTGGATGGAGAATGGTCACGAGAGTTTGGTGAAAATTGATAACGTTTTGTCGATTTTTGTGAGCTATAGCAGTTGTCATAAGGCTGGTTGTAATTGGTTCTATATGGGGATGGATACCGTTGACGGTGGGTAAACCTTGGGCGGGATTCATAGTTCGCTGGCGAAGGTGATCGATGCCCTGACTGGTGACGCTGTTGTTCGGTGGAATACTGCGGAGTTGGACAATCGCTGTGGTTATGGCTTGAAGGTAACCTTTTTTCACGTTGTGACCTGTCGGGGTCTTCTTGGTATGTACGGTTAGAGGCTACAGTAGGACTGTCGATCTTCTCCAATGCGGTCTTAGTTTTAGCAATATGGATAATTTTAGGTAAAGATTTTAGCAATTTCGGTTTATGCTGAGTGTGCTCAAAAATATACTTTCTAACAGAGTCAGGTATAGCAGATAGAAATTTATCAATAACAATAGCTTCTAAAACACTAGAGTCAAAATTATAATATTCTCTGGCCAAAATCTGTAACCTGGCGGCAAAAGCTTCAAATGTCTCGGTGTCTTTCATTTTAGCTTCATTAAATAAGATTCCAGTTGTATGATGATCTAAAGGACTAACGAATTTATCTTTCAACATAGAAATGATGTCTTCATAGTTGTGTTGTTTATCAGTAGGCATAGCCTCCCAGCTGGTTTTTGCATGTTTTTCAAGCAATAAGGACAACACTTGACCTGCATAAGGGGTATAAAGTGGACTGTTCAGGGCTCTTTGAACTTTGTTTAACCAGTCTTTTAAATAAATGTCAACATCAGGTTCTTCACCTGAAAATGTCCCAGTAAACTCCTTCACTTTTGAATAAATGTATAAATGATCTCTGACTGGGTTTATATTTGATTGGGGTGGGTTGGATGTGTTGGATTGAGTGGTGGGTTGCCACTGTTCAGCTGCTAAGCGTTGACGGAGATCTGCCAATTCTCTTCTAAACCTATCCTGTTCTTGTTGGTGCAGTAGTAAACTGCTTTCCATCATGTTTTGTAATTTCTCAACCTCGGTAAGTTCCTGTTCTGTACGACCTTTTGCCCCAAGTTGTTCTCCGTGGGTTGACATTTTAAATATTAAAGCCAATGTGTTACTATTAGAATAACAGAAATCGAAGGTCGGACAACTAGCCGAAGAGGTTTGCGGTATCACTAATGTTAAAAAGAAAAAATAATGGACAAACATACAAATATATATAGTGATGAAAACAATACTATTACTGGATATCAAACGTCAATCAGAGTCTATCAATCAAATGACACACACGTAGTCCAATGCATCAACATACATGACAATATGATATACAAATTACCACATTACAATTATTATGAGGAACACAATATTCATATTATTTACGTTACATACAACATCAACAATCGAACAAAATAAAACTCAAGACAATAGAGTCTATAAAAATTGAAAATAAAATACTTGAATATTTTATTGCGGTATGAAGTCCATAAAACACACAAGTGTTCTGTTGTGGTCTGGTAAACGACTGACTAAATGATTCTTATAGAAATTGAATTTAAATAAGACACCATGAGTTTATTATACTGTCGATTCACGGGAAAAATGTTCGAGCATTTCGTCGGTGGATCTTCAATTCGACGAGTGAACGTTGTACTCACTGGCAGTTGACTGACAATAATAAATCGTCACTTCTTATAATCACCAATTATCAAAAACGTCACTGGAAATATTTGAAATATATCACAGCTTAACTCATGTCACAAGTTACTGATTATTCATCGAACAATACTCAGAATCCTGGTTCGGCGGCGAGCTGTTAGTAAAGAAGCACAGGCCTTCTTCTTTCTTCGACTTTGAACGACTTTTCTTTACGAAGGTTCTTCATTCTCGTTCACACAAGTAAATTTCACACACCTTCGTGACTATCGGGGACGCCAATTTGTCGTACCGTTGGTTCGAACTCAAGAAGGTGTTCAGCTTCGAATGATCTTTATTACAGTTTTACATTACATAAAATCTGACAATGCTTGTCCTGTCTTCCATCCTCACTCACCGCCAACAACAACAGCCCAGCGCGTGTCATACACCCTTCTCATTGGCTATTTCTCTCCCTGCACTCACCGCAATACCTTATATGGACATACAAAAGGAGTAAAGGTACATTCGCACGGCTTTCAGATTAAAGGTGCATTCACACATTTACTGTTTGTCACAATTAGTACCATTGATATTCCAAGAAGTTGTGTTTTCTTATACCTTTCAAACAAGTGCAAGTGTGTGGGATGGTGATGACTGATCATCTTGTTGTGATTGCAGTACACAATCTGACAGCTGATTCATTAGCAATTAGTGCCGATAACCATGGATTGATGCACTGATATCATTGAGTGTCGAAACCTATTATTAATTCCAATAAAGCTGCTCCCGGGAGCCCCTACAAAAAATTATACCACATGTTTAATGAACGACACATCATAAAAAAAGACAACCAGCAGTTGCCATGCAAGATATGCCACATTTTGCAAGAGATGGACAGAGAACAAGCTTAAAACTTGATTTTTCGTACAATCAGGGACCATAATCCAACAAGTTACAGTCCGATATGCATCAGTATAGAAAGGAACCAAGATCTTTGGGTTATAAACATAGGTTTTAAGTTTCATCAAAATTGTGACCTCTAGAATGTCCAAAAGCTACAATCATACAATCAGGGGCTATGATCCATGAAGTTCTGGTCAAATACATGCCAATATCGAAAGGAACCAAAATCTTTGGGATATAAATATGACACAGCCAATCAAAATGTCTGGATCATTACAGCTTTCCAAAAGACATTCAGTTAAAATTTTATTCTTATTTCATTTCATCTTCATAGTTCTGATTATTTTTTGGCAGAATATCTGAGTGTATTCAGAGTGGCATGTTGTGCAAACAGCTGAAAGTGGCTGCATTATACACAAGACTTTACTAAGATTGTAAATAGATCAATCTTCTTTCTTGTTGTGTTTGTTTCTTCGTGATCGTAACAAGACTACAAGTACAACATGAAATAGTTTTACAACTTTATTGCTAAGCTGTAATGGCTTTGCAGGTTCCTTGTTCTCAATAATAATGGCTGCTAGGAATTTCTGAATGAGCTCTGATCCAACTCGCTCTACACCCTATTTTATACCCCCTAATTTCTGCAGGTCTTTGATAACCGTGACTTTAATTTCCATCCCATGTATGGAATAAACCTCTTTATTTCACACGAAATAACCTCTTTATTTACCTTATTTGGTCTATGTACCAACCATAGGTCAATTAACAGCCAGAATTTGATGGATATTTTGACAATGATTATGATTTAACCAAAATATCACTGTTTTTTTATGTATAACTATATATTCACATTCATTAAGTACGTGTGATTTAACTCTATAGACAGAGTGAAGCAACAATTTTGCAAAGAACCAAAATTGTCTCAAGGACCAAAGTGTTACAGTGATTGGAACTGCAGCATTTCATTGGCTATTTATTGCACACTACTAGGGACATGACATGAGAATTATAAAACCTGTCAGATGCGTCTGGTCAAACACAAACACAAAATAAAAAACAAAAGAAAACAAGAAAGGTCTTGAAAAAACCCTGCTGATTTTAATCAGATGTGTTATAAATTTTGATACGGATGGTTAATTATGGCTTGACCAATGACAACCAGCACATTACTGAAAACAGCTTATGAAGAAAAGACATTAGGCCAAGACAAAGTGAGTAGATAAACAAAAAATAAAGATTAGACCTTATGATATAACGAATTATATTTCAGGTATGGAGATTAATGGACGAGGACAGATAATATTGTCTTACTATTGTAGCCTGACAATTTATAAAAATGCTTGAAAGAATGTCTGCCAAAGTTGTTATTCACAATGTATCAGAAGGAACAGCTGAATACAGACCAATTAACTTAACTAGATATAGTAAGTAAACATTCACATTGAATTATTTCTGATTCCAGATCGAATGTCTTAATTATTATCCTTTTCAGATTTATATATAATTGATGTCACATCAGTTAGAATTATTTTTTAATAGAAATGCAATACAGATCAAACCAATACTGAGATCTTTTTAACGGTTGTAAATACATCTTTTCTTCTATAGGTCTGTAGCACGCTTAATTATCCAAGCATTTGTATTGCTTATTATACGCCCACACTGAAATTTGGTCGTATATTGCTGTCACCCCCACCCCCATTTATACACAGTGTTTACGGTCATGCAACAAAGAAGACTATGATTTTTAACAATTTCCGATAATTACTGCCAGTGTTATGGCCCTTGATCACTTTGAAAAATCGTGTGGATGCTCTGCTCTAGTGACTTAAGTTACTATCCGATAGACTTTAAATTTACAGTGTTCATGGTTATGCAACGAAGAAGCCTATTGCTTTTCAACAAATTCATATAATTGCTGCCAGAGTTATGCCCTTGATCACTTGGGAAATCTTGTAGACGCGTTAGAGTTTAAAGTTAATATGAATTTATACACAGTGTTTAAGGTCAGGAGATAAAAAATTGAAACAAATTCTAATGATTTCTGATAATTACTTAATGGATTGTTACTCGCAATTAAAATTAACTGTGTTGTAAATGTTTTCATTACTGACAAAAGTGTACATGCGTGTAGATCAAAAACATTCACAGTTTGCAAATGAGTAAAAATTGTTCAGAACAATCGTTCAATTTCATGTGCTGATTTTAGAAATGAGAAGGGTTTTCAATTAAAGAATGCATTTAATTTTGAGGTCAACTGTTCTCACTTATGACTGGAAATGGCTGGTGGTGTCTATACTGGCTATTTAAACATTTAGATGGTGCTAATAGTCTAACATTAACTAACTCCTTGTCTTCAACTATTCTCTGAATTTGATCAAACCCTGTTGTGTATCTAGTCGTAGGCTCCTCAAAGTTTTGCAGTTTTAACCTGGATAACAAATTGCAAGGATATTACATATGTTATTTTAGGAAATCTAAACATGTGTGTTAATATCCCTTTGTTAAAGTTTGATAATATGTGTGTGAAAAAGATTCATAGAATTACCGAAGACAAATTGTTGTTGTTAACTATTGACTATGTGTACATGTGTATCAAATTTATTACTTGGGATGTGATTTATCAATGTGTTGAGAAAATAATTTATCAGTGTGGGAATTACATGTTCTGTTTTAACGGATGTTGTTATGACCCAGGTAGCAAATGCATTTCTAAATAAAATACGACTACATGTAGTAAACCAAGAGTGGTGCTATCAGACATCCCCAGAAAATATTTAATAAAAACAGTTGATAAAGGTCTACTGCCCTAAATGCATCTTGTTGGTGTGTGGGGATGCAGTGGCTTAGTGAGTAAGACATTGACTCACTAACCTGAAGGTCCCGTGTTTGATCCTGGTGTGGGCTGAGAAAGTTCATCATGATTTTGTTTCCCCCTTGTTAGTGGTGCAGGACAGATGGGCCTGGAAAGGGATGACATATAGTCACTCGGATGGAATGAAAAACCGAGATCCTGTGTAGTCATTGGCGTACACGTAGAAGAACCCTTGACAGTTGGAATTCAATATAAGAGTAGGCTGTAGTGCCGCTGCCTGGGCAAAATTTCCCTCATAGCAAACTGTATGGCGTATGTCTGTCTTAATTAGCCTAGTCGGAGCAGAACAGTAGGAAGTTAACCCCATTTCATGTCATTTCAATTTCTCGGTGTGCTGCCAGGGGGCTATTTTGCAGGATTATTTTTGAAGGATTACTTGCTTTTTGCCCCTGCCTTATCATTGAGATCCACACTGAGCGGCATTATTCCAGGGATTCTTTCAGGAGTTAATTCGTTGCAGTCTTGGAATTATTTTTAGAATTAAATAGAAATTGAACACTCAGCAAAACTCAGCCGACTCCAGTACCCTACATCTAGCCTTGGCTGTATGACAAATTCTGCCATTGGAACTACTTTCATATTCCTGGATTACAAATGAAAAGTGTTTTATTGTACAAAGCTTTCAATGTCTGCAGCTGTTTTTCTTTAAAGTTTATCTGATTTTCTTTAAACAAAGGACAATTTTGCAATGAAAACTACACACTCTTTGAACGATGCCATTTTTAGAACTTCTTTCTAAAAAGGCAAGTTTTTCAAATAAGTAAAACGATAGCCGCATCACAATTGTATGGGTATAGGTACCTATTACTGTCATACAGGGTACCCAAATCCGCCAAGGTTTGCAGAGTGAGAAATTGAATAGTTGACATTAAGAAAAGCATATTCATTATCAAACACATTGTAGTTTTGGGATGGCCGAAACTAAACTGTATGTATGACATCAAAGCTGAGTGGTGCTGGTAACTAGACACCACCAGTCATTTTCATGAAAGTGTGATTTAAACGTTAACGATCTATAATGAATCTAAAACTAAAACATCTAGCTCATATGATACCTGATCCATAATCGTGCTCTTAACAAATTATCTACATAAAAAAATCAAACAGTAAGTATTCATTGTATTAACTGAGGAATAAAATTACCCATGTGGTTAATGTTAAAATTGTAATGATTTGTAATAAATCTGGGTTTTTTTGTAATATGCCCATTATTCAGTTTTAAATACAGATGTGACGGAATCCTTCGATTGGTGTACCATTATTTCAAATAATGGTACAGGCAACGGGCCAATAATACATTATTGAAATAATGGACTCATGTGACGGTTACATTGAAATGCACGTGTGGGATAATGCCTGAATTTTAAGTTCTTGAATGGTCTTGAGCAAAAAATTGTGTAATATATTGAAACAACATTCGGACTAACATCCTCGTATACAGTATCAATATATTACTTCATGCCTTGCTCTTGACCATCAAACCACACTTAAAATGCAGATGTGACGTCATCCTTTGATGTTGGCGTACCATTATTTCAAATAAAGTTACAGGCAATGTGCCAAGTGTACATTATTTATACTAGTTGCAATATTGGACCTGCGTGATGTATTTCATTGAAATGCACGTGCTGGATAGTGTCTGTATTTTAAGTTGTTTAATGGTCTTGTGCAAGACCTTGCGTAATATATAGATATTGCCCTCATGCTATTGCACTCGTACAACATCAATATATTGCTTAATGTCTCGCACTCGACCATTGAACTACACAGTCATCGCAAAATTACTGTACATAGAGTTATTTAAAGAGAAAGATACCTTTTCCCAATCCAAATATTTTGAATAAAATAATCCACTTGACTGATATATGAAATTTATGTCAATAGTTTGTAACCTTTTATAATCAGTTAAGTAAATGATTATATTAATGAGTAGACATTAAAATACAAGAGTATCTAATGCTTAATTTGATCACTTAATCGTAAATTATACATACAATAATAAAAGCTTTTGGGAAATTATCTTTATGACGTCGTGATTTATGGTCATTATTGATGCATTTTGATCGTTGTCACTCCCATTAGTCTTTCATTACCATCACATTAATAGATACCTTGTTTTCTATGATGCTGTACATTATCCATAGACTAACAACAATTAGTGAAAAAGAATAGATTTGTCAGTTGTAATATCATCTTGTATGATATAATATTGATTAAAAAATGTTATTGTCTACTAATATGTACATGGTATAACCATTAATTATATGAGGTTTGGATTTACTAGGATTATTTATCTTGTCAACAAACAGTTTTGGCTGTTGACATTTGGTGTGTCAAGGGAAATAACTCCTCAATGAATAAACAACAAGAGTCATGTTACTACTTTCTTTAATTTGAAATATTGAAATATTTATTGTGTATTAGATTTAGATTGATTAAAGGTGTAAAAAAACTTACACGCCATGTTCATTGGCGTCACACATGGGGGGGGGGGGGGGTCCGGGGGTTTCCGACCCCCCCCCCCCCCAATTGTTTTTCTGGGGGAGTCTGAATATACTTGGACCCCCCCCCCCCAAAAAAAAAATTTACATAGTAGGCCCAAACTCCTATTTATTTACAACAATTATTAGGATTAGTTAAGATTCTATCTGTATAAAACCTGTACATATCCCAATATGGTTTATACTGCTAAAATAAAACACAGAGATAATCATCCTGGAAACATGTGTGAAGTGAAAAGTACCTGTGTGCCATAAAATTGTGTCTAGTTAGCCTGTCAGTAATATTTTGTTAATTTTTTTTCTGCCACTTATCAGAGTGAATCGCATGTAGGTATCCAAAAACATAACCGCCTAAACCAAATATTTACCGCCCGCTCAGCCAGCAACGTAACCATAATGCTTTTGCACGCGGTGTCTTGGTAGACAACATGGCCACATGGTGTTTGTTTATATTTTTTAGGGGTTTTAAAAAATGGGTTAGGGGTTAGGGTTGCGGACCCCCCCAATATAAATTTCACGGCTACGCCTCTGGCCATGTTCTCTGAGGGTTAGGAAGTAAGTTTTTACTATAAAGGATGGTTTCATGATACCCATGACTTTATTTTGAAAACCACATTTTCATGTGGACCATATTTCATTTCCGATGTCTCTTCCCATGTGTTTCTGACACATGTATTGTACGAAAATCACCTACATAGATTTTGAACCCTCTAGAGTTTACAATTCTTAATCGATTCAGAAAAATGTTGAAATGTATGTTTATTACACAACAATCATGAATTAGTTTCAATTTGGTGGAAACCACTCAGTAACTTCCCATTAAAATAGCCCCTCCCATTAGCAAATATTGACAATGCAGGAAATACAAATACCAAGGTAGAGAACCGTCTAGAGGCCACAGTTTTAGTCGGATTCAGATGAAAGTTAAGATTTATGTTCAGTTTCAAAAGAACTTGGATGACAATTTTAGTCAGATTCAGATGACTTTAATTTTGGTGTGCATCTTACTGCAACTTCTTGGGTTATGGCCCATTCCTTTTACGCAATATGTGTAACAAGTTTGTCGGCTTTCTAGTGTGACAAATTGGGAACATCAGAGCATGAAACCTATCAATTCTCATTGGTCTGTCTGAGATGAACACTATCAACAGTCAGCATTAGTCCCCTTTGTCGAAAACGACAGAGGCTACAGTTTTTAATCGATTATTTTCAAATCCTATTGATATTCATCATTCCATGACCTACAATTCTGGGGTTACCCGCCTTTTTCCAAAAACTTTGTAAACACGATAGAGACTATAATTTCTAACAGGTTTTTCTTTTTTCATATGTGATGAGAAGCATTGGATAATCCTTACAATGAGAGGATGAGCCCTATCAATTTCCATAGTTCTCCGTCCATCTCTTGCAACATGTGAGCATATCTTGTATGGCAATCACTTGTTAATTTGATATATTTAGTTAATTTTCAAGATTTAAATGTTAGCAGACGCACTGGCTTCTGCTGAACTAAGTGTTAATTATCTTTCTAATCAAGACAAATATCATCATTATTATAATGGCATCATGACAAACTAAAATCAGATTAAATCAAAATGTCATTTCAATCCAGATACCATAACATGTAATGAAGAATATATTTAATTAATAATTTCATAATACTAATACAGTCTTCCACTAGGCCTATTGGTTTCTGATGATATCACTTCTGCTCATAAAATCTGTGGAATCTGTGCAATATTTTAAAACCCTTAAAGAGGCATTATCAATCTCATCAAGAAGTAAATGTAATTAATAAATCTGACTCATCTATTTATCAAAATACATTTATAGATTATTATTTTTTTAGCTATTGGTGAATCTCTGAAAAGCACTAATGCCTCTTTATCAAATGTTTTACCGTGGAAAATCTGAATAAGCTTACACTTTTAAAATCTGTGTGAAAAATCTGTAAATTATTAATTTGTCTTTATTGACGGCAATGCTATATACCGGAAAACTACTGGAAACACCTTGTTATACTGAATACCGGAAAACAAACTAAATACCGGAAAACACCCTAAATAGGTAACCCAGAGCCTGGTCCTCTGTTTGCGGGGGGTTAGGATTAGGTTTTTCTTGTGTTTTCCAGAGGACCAGCGGTGGGTTAGGGTTAGTGTTTTCCAGAGGACCAGGCTCCGAGGAAACTATTTAGGATGTTTTCCAGTATTTAGTGTGTTTTCCGGTATTTAGTGTTTTTCCGATGTTTTCCGGTATTTAGTATAACCTGGTGTTTTCCGGTAGTTTTCCAGCATTTTCTGGTGTTTTTTTCTGTGTTTTCCGGTATATAGTATAGCCCTTTATTGACCAATAATAGAATTTTCAAATCAAATAGAAAGTAAAGTATGTTTCTACAGAGGTATCATTTTAGTTTGTCAGTGTTTTAAAAAGCAATAAAATTTGTATTTCAAAAGGACCATCTTTAACAGTAGAGAATCAAACATGGGCATATGTCTACTGGGTGTTGGTGTGTGTTCTAGGAACGCTGATTGGTCTTAGTTTTGCATCTTGTAAATACTGGAGGTAAGTATTTAGAAAATATACTTTCTGGGTTAGGGTATGTCACACTATAATATTTTTTAATTGTTGCAGACTTAAGGAGACCTTTTACAGTGATGCTCTAAATGACTCTTCCCAATTTTTTCTCATCCCTAGCCATTCGAAGAACGAACAGGTCTACCAAATGGGTCTGACCATCTGTCACACTCTATTTTTAATTTTTGATGTGATTTAATTTACTGTCAACAGAAATTATTATAACTGTTGCTAAGTTTCCTGTTGGTCATGTGCTTCTTTGCATGGCAACTTATCTTTTATATTTACTTTTATTTTAGAGATCAGTATCAAAAACCTGAAAACAAACGGAGAAGAAAAGAGAAAGCAGATATTGAAATACGAGGTATGTAATGAGGTGTATAACAAAATTATGTAATAATATTAATAATGTATTTATAGAATTGCTGAAATTCAACACAATATTTGTTGATGCAACCAAACTGCCAGCATGATAGAGAGTAAATGAGAATACACCATGAACAAATATCATGCTAATTCAGGGTTGAACCATGAACACGATTAATATTTTATTTAGCAGTAATATAAGCTGGAAATATATTAGTATTAAATAAATTCATTTGATGAGGTTGTTTGTGTTGCTGAACTACCAGCACGATGTAAAATTTTGCTTACCTAATACACTAAAATGACTAAGAATAAAAAAAAACATTTTGCATCCACATGTTCATTCTGTGATGAAGAAGATGAAAAGTCCATCAATTTGGCAACCCAACAATTTCTCAATCATTTAAAATGCTGAATGAAAAGTTTGGTCTTGCATTTTATACCCCCACATTTTCATGTGGACATATATTGCTGTCGCTTCTATCCGTCAGTCCATAATTTGTTTGTGGACACTCTACAGGTCACAATTGTTAACCGATTTTAACGAAACTTGAAACATAGGTTTATACCCCAATGATCTCAGTTCCTTTCGCTATTGGCATGTATCGGACCATAACTTCATGAATCATGGTTCCTGATTGTACGAAAAATCATGTTTTTAGCTTGTGGACCCTCTAGGTCACTGTTATTATCCGATTTTGATGAACCTAAAATGTATGTTTATAACCCAAAGATCTCAGTTCCTTTCATTATTCGCACATGTCAGACTTTCACTTCCTGGACTATGGCCCCGTAAAAATGACTGCTCCCCTTTACGCAAAGAGTGTTAAAGCATGTAATACCAAGAGTATCTTGCATGGTAACAACTTGTTTTTTTCACCTTCCACACAAGGTACTGAAAAGTAGCCTACACCTTTGTGGATTCATCAAAGTACGACTGCGATTCATTAGCACGAAGTATATTTTTTATTATGCTGTGGGATGCTGTATGTAGGAAGGTACCAGACCCACTACAGATTCTTGTGGAACACATCTCAAACAGATTTGCTGTCTATGACAACTTACTGTGTTCTTAACCATTTCAAGTGGTTTTTCTTTCACATGAATATATGGGAGGTAAACTAAGCCTCATAGTTAGATGTCATTAGTAATTAACAAAGTTGAGCCTCCATTTTTTTTTACATTATTTTTTAAGCAAACTGCTATATCTGGGCTCATTAACATTTTAAACCAAGCAAAAATTTTACACTTTACAGTGATCTAATAATATGAACATGCTTATCGTCATTTGATGGTTGGATAGCTGAATGGTTAGCGTGCGCGCGCTGTATCATAAAGTCTGTCATTGAGTCGACTGGCGTGGTTTTGAATCCATGGTTGTACATGGCAAGGAGTGGGGTCGCCTGTCCAACCTCGTGGGTTTTCTCCGGGTGCTCCGGTTTCCTCCCACTGCTAAAGACCCCTACGTGCAAGCGAATTATGTAAATAAAATCAAACCATATGTTAGTCCCAAAATGACCTAGTTTGTGTCGAGTGGACGTTAAACCCCATTTCTCTCTCTCTCTCTATATATTTTTTTTCTTATCAGAAGGGATTGGCAAAGTCAGATTGCTTCTTTAGCCATTACCAACTGATATGTGAGGAAACTTTGTGACATAAAGTGTAACATTGTCTTGTCTACTTCAGGCTAATGTTTTATGCGATATGTTGTATGCCAGTACCTTGATTTAATTAATTATAAAGTAGGACATTGTTATATAAAGGACATAACATTTCTTATGTGACTTATTGAGGAATAATTGAAATTCGGCATTAGGGGCAGCAGACTTTGCATAGGCTTACTAATGGGTTCCATAATAATTCACAGCAATAGCATTGACAATGTATGTCCTTTTAGATTTGACACCATAAAACCATACTGAATAATATTCTACAAATATATGAAAGTTAATAGCAGAAAAAAACAGAATTGTATTTAATGGATCCTGAGACAGCCTATAATTTCCTGACAGAGGATGAGGATGTACAGAGTACCGCTAGTTAATTAGCCCACTATTACACTTCCTTTTTGCAGTGCATACTTTTTTTTTAACTGACTGAAATCGGATACAAGACAGCCTTTTATGCATGTATCATTCTTCTGTTCAGCACGAAGTGTGATTTTACTCATTAACCTGATGGACTATCAGCTTTTGTAATACTTTCTGATCTCTGTCTTGTCATCCGTCCTCCTTCCGGTTGTCATCCATCACACTTCCGGTTTTTTGTCCAGCAAAGGGAAGGGCCTGGTAGGCACCTTGGATTAATGTCATATTTGACATGATTGTTGACTGGGTTCTGCTTATTCATAATTTGTTCATATGAAGCTTTTGGCCCCTAGGCAGGAGAACTGTAAAAGGGCAGTTTTATACAGTATGGACTTAGACATCTTAATGGGTGGTTTTATTTTCAGATTTGTTGTCCCCATACTTTTGGAGAAAACAGGGTAGTATTATAATAGGTTCCTCGGTCTTTCTGTCTATCACACCTTCTGGAACACAATAACTCTGCTACTAATTGGTTAGTCCCAAAATGACCTAGTTTTTGTCGAATGGACGTTAAACCCCGTTTCTCCTCCTCTCTCGCTTGTAATTGAGGTAGGATGTCCATCAGGTGAATGTTTCGACAATAATGAGCACTTTCTGCTTAGGCTAAGTTATTTGATTTGTCGATGCGTTGGAACACAAAAAGTTTGATTCTAATTGAGTGAGACTGATAACACTTTTTTGACTTTGGAATATGATTACTTTGATCCTACTTGAGAGTGATGAAACTTGATGGGGTTGAGGAGGGGAATATCAGCCTGACTGTTGGATCTTTCAGTTTGAGTTGGTTTGTTAGCTTAATGCTGGTTTTTGTATTTGCTTCACAAATAGGTTTAAAATTAAAAGTTATGACACATGTCTAGTTTTATGCATATTTTCATATCCGTTGTATTTAAGTGTGGGCCTAAAGTTATATAAAGTGTCATTTATTGATCTTTTTTGCAATATTGTTTTGTAGTCATATGGAAATTGTTTAGCATAAATAAATTTACCCACTCTTATAGGGCAGTGGCAACTTGAATTGGCAAATGTAAACATTTTTATATTTTCTTGTAAATTACTTGAAGGATTTCAACAAAACTGGTAGGAATGTTCTTGATTTTGGACTTATTTAAATATGTTCAAATAAATCGAAAGAAAAGGAAATGACTTTAACATCTCGTCCACACAATACTTTGGTCATTTTGAAACTATTATTACTTTTATTTTTATTGCTACATTTACAAATCCAATGGGAAAAATTTTGCCTAGACATTGTTTCTACCTTCTCTTGTTCGAAATAGTTTAGGTTATAGGCTAAACATCACGCTAACATGCTTTGTTTTATAAATTAAAACTGATAACATGTGCAAGTTCCTTTTAGTTTAAGGCTTCATGCTAAGGGTTGTTCTCGTGTGGACACTAGGAAATTAATATTCACATCACTAATTATTTAAGCTGTCATTCACCTATGAAGGTGTGATTTAATGATTTAACAGTTGAATGTTTTTAACAAGCTGTGAAATTGTTCTGTACATTGTAAGACTGAAATATACTCTTCAAAAAAAGTAGGGGATATTCAGAAACAATACAAAACTGCGGAAATGCACTGCTGTTTTTATTAGAGGTAACCAGTGTATGTTAATAACAGGCCAATTGCTTACACATGAACATAAACAGTTCATATGGGCGGCTTATCTGACAGCCCCATTTCACTCGCAAAGAGACACACTGTCAAAAGTGAAAATGGACGTTTTTGATTTTTGTCTTAATAATGAGTAATTGCTCCACCAATCCTCAGACATTCAGCAATTCGTCGTGGCATGCTCCTAATCAACCGTCTAATCACGATTTAGGGCAATCTGACCCACTCCTCTTGCAGTACCACGGCCAATTCTTGCAGTGTTGTCGGTCGACGTTGATATCGACGAACACATCTCCTGATCAAATTAAACGTAACACACTAAAGCAATGATACGCTAAACAGTAAATCTTATGCAAGAACCGATAGGAAAGCAAACATGGATAGGATAAACCAGCAAGCGGCAGTTTTCAACAACCCTTCCTTGAAGTGTCAAATTTGACAAAGAACCCCTCCCACATGTATGGCGCTATTGCGTGTCGCATGTGCAGGTCAGTGGTTCTGTTGGGACGATAAGTTCTTCATCTGTGAACATACTCTCAAAGCATGTCAAGTGTCCATAACTATTTATCATATCACAACCTGCATAGGTATTTGCATTTCAATATCCCCTACTTTTTTTGAAGAGTATATAACAGTTGTGTGACCAGAGGACAGAGCTGTATTGTACGTGTCCATACTCTTGTAACTTTTCTCAGTTAACCTTTTGCTTTCTAGTTAAATTCTGCCCCTTATTTAGACTTCAATTTCATGCGTGTCATTTAATTTTACAGCCCATTACAAGGAGGACTACTTCAGCTTTTGGCCATGTTGACTCATTAAAATGGTAAATTGGGTGGCATAGAAACATTAAACATACATTATGCAAGAGCTAAATCTGCCTATTACAGGTCTTTCTTTAGGCCTGAAATGTTACCTAAATTATTGATTAGACATTAATTAACTTATCCAGACCATAAGCAATTCTCCATGTGATGGCTAGCCTGCGATATTAACTGGATTAGGATCCGATTTGTTGCTCAACTTTCATTCATGATTAAATCATGAAATGGATAATCGAGACTATGTTTTTTTTATCGTACTGACTTTAGTAATGATGATCGAGTCTAGGCCGAAAATTCAATCCCTAAATTCTCAGTTCAGAGTGGATCAAATTTGACTGAAATTTTCAGCAAATACCCATTACATTATCTAGTTTTTAACTATCATAGTGAGAACTGCCAGCCCGTTATCTAATCTCCCATAATGTATCTTTAATTAAGATAATAAATATGATGCAGATACCTAGACAAA